GGGAAAGGAGAAGTGAACAGAATTAAGCAACAGGAGATGAAAATAAGTACATGTTAGATACAAGAAGGACTGGAAAGGATAGGGAAATGAGTTGCGCCATCTTTTGGCGCCACCATAATTATCATCATTAAAACCAATTGACATTTAGCAGAGATGTTGTCTACAAAAATCAAGGACTTATATCAGTGTTCTTTGCAGAAGATGGCGCAAGTATAGGTGGAATGCCATTTATTATGCTTGAGGATGAATCACGGTTTGCCGCGTGCGCTTTTGGCACTTTCTGGTGCCATCTATTCGTTTCCGGATATAGCCATCTATTCTGAAAATGGTGTACGTTCTTTTTTTCCATGATACAACACCGACGTTAACCAGTTACACATCCACACATCTTGTGTATAGCGTTTGGTCTCCGCTATTGCGGGTGTCCCATTACCTGTAGCAGTCAAAACAATATATCACTATTTTAGAGACAGGCATGCAACCTAACCATAATCATCCACGGTTACAGGGAATAGGATATAACCCAAAAATATACATGCCATATGTTCCGGCCCGTCTCAGGAACTTTGATGGTCTGGGGCCACAGGAACTCGCGCCGAGGAGATGCGCGAGTGGCAAACAACTCGGCTTTTCAGAAAATTGGTGTATTTGGGAACATTTCCACCAATCAGGCTGCTCTCCATGCTTTCCTGTTGCGTCGTATCTTAGAGCTTTTCATTATGCTTTTACCAAAAAAGCATGCCTTTTGGCAGCGCAACTTCCAGGTTCTCTTCTCGCACACCTGTCGTGACCATATACTGTGGTTTCAGAGTAGATGGCACAGACCCGAACCCTTTATATAGATGCGGGTCCATCTCAACCACCGACCTTGGGGTAAAAGTGCCATCTACTCTCAATCCATTATAACTACCTTCCAACGTGCCAGACCCACTCAGACCGTGCGAGGTCGGTCGCTCGGTTCGCCCCAGCCGCGCGCGACCGGCAGGTCACGGTGGCTTGGTGCAGACCATGCTTTGCGTCCGACGCCTTAGACCGCCGGGCGACGAGTCGTGGCAGGTAGAGTCACAGGTAGAGAAACAGTCGTGGCTGAGGCCATGGCTGCAGAAGTCGAGCTACTGAAAAGTGGACCCTATAGAAACCACAAAGTATATGGATCAGGTCGTCTATTGGATATCCTTTTTAATTGTTGATCCCGACCTTTTCCCGATCTCTTTCCTTGAAAGAGGCAGCTCCAGCAAGAGTGTTGAATCGTGAACAGAAGAGGGAGGTTTTTTGGGTGGGAACTTGGCAAGTTGTCTTCGTTGGGAAGAGACCCACATGGAACCTGAACATGGATCTTTGGAAGCTACGTAGGCTTTCCTCCACGTTCACCAGTGGTTTTCAGGTTCCATGTGAGTCTCTTCCAGGGTGTATGTTGCAAGGATTTTCAATATCTTCAATCATTGGTGATGCCTTCAGGCTGAAGGGTGATATTCATGAACTTGCTCTGGGAACCCCCGCCGGGAACCGATCGACACGTCCATCACTACTACGACCTGGGGGCGATCGCAGCGATCGCGCCCTGGGGCGATCCAGACTGTGAACACCCAGCAGAAAAGGGATCACCTAGAAGTCGATCCACCATTTTTGAATAGCCTGGTCATCCCGAACAACCATTGTTACTAAGGATTTCTACAAAGCCAGATCAACCATTAGAATCAATTCAACGGACTTCAGGGGATCTACCAGCAACCTGCTCTGCTCCGAGTGCCTTTTTTCCCACCAGCCAAAAAACCAGTGCAACACCAGGACCAATCGAAGAGGAGCATCGCAGTTGGGTGGGGGGTCTCAGGACCGTGGAGATCGGATGGACCGAGGAAAAAGGCGGTTGGGATGCGACGAAAAGCATGCTCACCCGATGAAGACGAGTGCGACAGTTGATGAGTGTGGAGCAAGGGACTTAGCAGCCCCGAAGACCAGGGACGTTACACCAAGACGTACGGTGGCCTGTGAGCCCTTCCGCAAACCCAACGTACCGACAAAACGGGCTGGGCGTGCGATCGAGGGGCGACAAAGATGGTTCCAGGACCGTTGCACCTCTACCAACCATTTACCATCCATGGATAAAGGATGATGAACCAGCTTCTTCAAAGTGACCTTTTGATACCTTTTGAAGGTTCCTAAGTGACCCTTAGGACTTAGGAGGCTTAAGTGACCTCAAACCAGCATATATATCAAGTTCGGTCACTTTGAAGAACCAGGAAGGTCATCTTCTTGTCCGAGATGGAGTTCACCTTGGGCTCCCCCCGACACCCGGCTCTGTCACCGGTGACCACTCCGAACGCGCCGCCACTCGGTGTGACCGGCTCAGGTGCCACCTTCTGGAGGGTCTGGGCGCTCGGAGGGTGGATCGGGGTGCCAACATGGCAGACTCTCTGCAGTGAAAACGTCAGATTCGTATCTTGGGACCGGAAGCAAACATGAACCCCATTTTTGCATGCACCGGGATGAGGCATCAAAAGCTTGTATATAGTCATTAATAACATTAATATTTGTTGGTTTACCTCAAAGACATCCCATAGACGTTCCCGGCACCCACCAGTTCCCACCGTTGAACCCGCAGGTTCCCCCGATCGCTCGGCATTTGCTCGACGTTTCGTAGGCGCGATCTGCCATCTCCTGCGCCACTGCGGCGACGATGCAGAACGCTTCGACGTGTGTAGGCGACGGGTCGCGGTCACGGCGTGTCTTCGGAGGCATGTGTTGGCCTTTAACTACAGGTACTCAGACCCCCTTCTTGTCCTTTCGGAATTTGGTTTCCTTAGGTTGCCGTGTGGCGAGCAGCATTCGAGTCAGTACGCATTTCAATAAGTGTGTGTTTTGTTGTGGTTGGCTTAAGAGCTGTCCCTTTGTTTTTCCTGCGCGAAAAGGAAGGCTCAAAAGACGTTAGGGGGGCAAAATTCTTCCTCGCAGGAAGTGGGTTGGGAGCAGTTCTGGATTTTCATGGTTCCCTCGCCCGAGGGCCTTTTGTTTTTTCGCCCATCTTGCCCACTTTCGCGGTGCTAGTGCTGCAAAGCGAAAAGTGATGGACGAAAGAACCCTTTCATCCTGCGTTTTGAATTGAATTCTTGTTTCCAAAGGTACATCTTGTTCCTAGTAGTAGGGCCAGGAGCCCCGAACGTAGCGTCCTTGCCCCTAGTAGCGATGCCCGAAATGTTCCGAACGTAGCGTCCCTAACCATCCATCAGCGCCGAAGATCGCCGCTTGCGTTTCCTTTGAAGCTTCCGGAGGGAAGAAGCCGCCGCCGGACGTCATGGGTGAGAACCCTCCATGGGACTGCCGATAG